GTTCCTGCAGGTTTTCCAGGTCTCTTTAAGCCCGCAGCGCCTGCAGAGCTGAGAAGATCTGTTTAACTGCCCAGTTTACCCAATAAGTAGTTCAATCAGAGTGTTGCGCTGTGCTGGAAGGTAGACTTGCCCTGTAAAATCCTGGACTAGAAGGTGTGCATTAACACATTTTCTTGCAATCACTCTCAGCAATTTGCTCTAACTCCAGCCAGCGCGTGGGATCATGCTCATTGAAGTGCTAATATTTTGTTGTTTTCTAGACATTTTCATCCAGATTCTTATAGAGAATAGGGGGGTGAACCGTGGCAGAAACAGTCACTGTTGCCGATCCCTGGGTTGGTGGCAGAGCTGGAGTCTGATCCAGGAATCTCCCTGGTTGTAATCGCATGCCCATTACACAACTCGGCACAGGCCCTCAGCATCTCAGGTTTGTGTCGTTCAAAGGTCCACTAAAATCAATTGAGATGATTAGTGGTGCACAATAAATAATTCCCAGATCAGTTCAGGACACAGAATGCTTGAGTTTAAAATGCAGGGTAAAGGTGTCCCAGAAGGTTTATGTTCCAGCTGGATCCCACACCTGGACTGTTCGAGTTTCCACAGGAGCGGAGTGGGGAAGCTTTTCCTCGGAGGACACCTGCACTCTCCCCCGTCAGCTGAGCTCTTCCTCTCCCTCCCTCCCTCCCTTCAGGTGACCAGTAAGTTCGAGCTGTACACCTGCTTCAGCCCCCTGGTGACCAAGGCCTCGGCCATCAACGCCATCACCAAGCTGCTGCGCTGGATCAAGAAGGAGGAGGACCGCCTCTTCATCCGCTGCCCCCCGAAGTACTCCACCACGCCCCACCCCAGCAAGGGCTCGCGGGGGGGCAAGGGGGGCTCGGACCGCCAGGACACCACTGACAACGGCTTCCTCCCCCCCCTGTAGGAGCCCCCGCCCTTCCTGGTGCGGGACAGGGGCGCCCGGGGCCGCGTGCGCTAACGTGAGGACCACACCCGCAGACTAACTCGCTGGTCTCCTGGCGGCTTGGATTGTAATGGACACCTTTCCTCTCAAGACAGGTTCTTTTTTTTTTTTAATCGTCTAGGTACTGCTAGGCGACGCATTTCTTTTCTCTTGGGGGGGGGGGATGGGGAGGGAAAGCAGATCTAGGGAAAGGTGTCATTCAGAAATATCAGCCAGCGAGGATCTGGAGGGGTCTGGGAGTGTGGTCTTTGAAGGTCTGTTACAGGATGTCTCTGGGCTGCACAGGTGTGCAGACTTTGGGCAAGGTTTACACCGGGAGCTGAAGAGCTTGCTCTGCAAATCAGGAGTCTTTGAACATGAAGACCTTATCAGGCACCGTATGCAGAAGAAACTTAAGTTTTAATTTTAAAAGAGCCAGGGACGTTGGCATCTTGGTCATAAAATTGGGGAGAGATGCCTGATTGCTCTGTGAAACTCTACACTCTGAAGGAAGCTTGTTTTTGTTTGACTAGTCAGGTTTCTTTAGAGATGTGTGGAGCGAATGTTTGAAGTTATAGACCGTTGCCCTGGGAGCTGGTACTGACTCGAACCCCACACAGCTCGTCGGGGCTGGGGCTGTCCCGAGCATGTTTTCTGTGACAACAACAGAAACCTATCCCCGGGCGAGACCGAGCGTTATTTTGAATGATCGTCCCGTGATCGGGTTTTCTAGCCTTTTTCTAGAAAGGCTGACGTTTTCTAGATCAAAAATTCAAAGCGTGCGTGTGCAAACTCGATGCTGAAATAAATCCTCAGTTCCCCAGCTGTCTGCTCTGGCTGCATTCCTGTCTTCTCCGTCTCCCTGCAGTCCCTGTGCCCTTTCTCAGCCTGGTGTTTTATAGCACGGGCTTCTCGAACCCTGCCCTCGGTGCAGACAGGCCTCACGGGTCAGTGTGTCCGCTGCCCTTGTCCTTAGACTGGGCTGCAGTTTACTACACTGCAGCTGGGGTTTCCAGGACATTGCCAGTGTATTGTGACGGCCGCTGCTGGCCGGAGTCTCTCCCGGAGCGTTTGAGACTGTGCTTACCATGAACGGTGGGATTAGGATTTTGAGCAATACTCTGAAAAGTGTGAGGGTTGCCTAGTCTTGCAGTTACACACAGTTGCATCTCTTTCTAAATTTGCCTTCTATGCAATATGTTACGGTGTTCTATGTGTTTATATAAAAGAATCTGGAGGGCTCTGTGGTAGGAAACAGGATCTGAAATGTGGCAGCAGCCATGTGTCTTCAGATCTGACTAAAGTGAAGGGGAATTCCTTTGAAAAGGTCAGTTCCATGCTGTCGCGAGTGCAGTGTTACCATGACTTCAGATTTTGCACTGGAATCAGTGCTAATTTATGCAAGAGGCAGAACTTCCAGCTTCAGTATTGAACTAATCTGTAACTTCAAACACTCCCTGCACGTCTTAATTCCTTGTATGAACCTCAGACACACTGAATAGTTTTAAAAGTTGTGTATATATATAT